GCCAAAAGGAGTACAGTTCCCTTAGGGGCCTACTGAACCATTAGTTTGCGAAACGTCCTGCAATCGATCCTGGCCGAACCAAAACCTTTCTTACGCATTCTGGCAGTTTACAGTCGGCCTATTTCTCTTTGAATTATCTACAATTTTACTTTTTTTAACATATTCTCCTTCGAGGAAGTTATGAATTGATAGTTTTTCTCGAAAATGCATCATGGTCCACAAGACTAGAAGGTTCTGGTATGCCGTCGCGGAAAAGTGGAAAGAAATACGTAATTGCTTTCTTCCCAACCACAACGAATTCGGTATACAGTTACTTAGGCCGATCAGAGGCAAAGGGTCAGCATAAATTGTCAAACTCTTAGGCATTAAGAATTGAGTAGGTGAGCTCCCAAAGTTACACTGGTTGTGATCCGCTTTAAATTGTGACCCATTGCATCTAACCTCTTCCAGAGGCTAAATAGTCACGTTCTATGGTAGAGCTTCTTATCCCTATTTGGGAAATAAAACGACTTTGCAATCGGTGCAATACTATGTTTGCGCATAGTTACCTGTCTGAGTTATACATGTTTTTTAACTTTTCCTTTACTTATCAGGTCACTCTGTTTCGACCTGCCCAAAGCGGCTCCTGGCGCACGCATCATATTTTATTCTTGCCACAAGGGCAGGGGTAATCAGCATTGGCAGCTTGTATGGCTGACGGGTGAATTGGGTGTCGACAAAAACCCAGTTCTTTTGAAGCATCCGTCCAGTAAGCTTTGTGCATCCGCCGATTTAACTGTTTCAGGCGACCCTCAGCTCGTAGTGCAGCCCTGCGATATCAACAACACTGCACAACATTGGGTGTGGGACCTACTACAAACGAGGCTGGCTAACCTAACGAATTCCAAGCGTGACACATAATCAACAAGCTGGTGGGTTTTTTCTGATATTTGAATTGACTGAGAATAGATATTCTTTTTTAGACGTATATTTTTGTCTACATTCGCTTTTCACTTGCATTTTGTAAATTTTATTATTTTATTCGTTGGCATTTCTTTGCAGTGCTTTGCCCTGAGTGCTCTTCAGTTATCGTTTTGACTTCCTGATACTTGATTATTGTTAGCCTATATCTTCATTCTTACCAACCTTCTCCTTTCTTTGTTTCACATCTGCTCATCCATATGCTTTATTAATTCCTTTTTATTTTAAAAGCCCTGCCTTTGCTTTTGTTTGTCCATCATGTTGAAAAACGTTTACTTAAGCTACGATTCCCCATACGTGACAGTGCTTTGTTTTAGCTGCACAAGGCAACTTGAAATTTTAACAGTGACATGCCACTAATTTTCTTATCCTTTAATCATATGCCCATAATTTTCTTGTCGCTCTATTGACTATGGCTTTTTTGTTTTATATGTAAGTTTTTCCAGACTACTAGTTTATCTAATATCAAAACTGTATTCACCCTATTTCGTTTAAGGTGACGAGGGACTAATAGTTAAATTTACCCACAATGCCATGAGTAGGCCTCACGTTTCAAGTCAATTTTACAATACCTTGCTTCCCAAAAGATATTCTTATCCTGGCTGAAGTGATCTGAATTTTCAACCTCGCATAGTTCTCATCGGCGCCCCCAGCAGGACCCTAATCGTGATAGTGCTGCATATACTCTAGACATCTTAACCACTACGCCACACTATCACGAGTGCCATTGAGCCACAGGGTAGGGTTTGAAGGAATTTAGAGTCTAGCTAGGTGTGCTCATGAGGCCTCAGCAGTCCACCCCAGCCTGAATGAGGATACCTTTGAGAAGCAAGGCTATGTGAAATTCAATGCATGCATATAATTTTGAATCAAATCTTACATTTGTCTTCAACTTACCTCACGTACAGCATAATATCCTTGGATATCTTTTAATTGATGCTCAACAAGGATGAATTATCATTGGGAATCAAGAAATTATGGGCCTTTATTTTGTGTCTACTTTTTGGAGGTCTTATTTGCATTTTTATCCGGATGCTCATAGTCAATTTTCGTGATAATTTAAGTTTTAGTGCCCACATCATGGATCAGTATCATTTAATACTCCTGAATATTCGAATTTAGATGTAACTATTATTCTTATTCTGAATGCTTGAATTTTATCCATATTTATTAATTCCATGACCTAAACCCGATTTTGCCTCTTCATAATTAATAGACAT